ACCCCCCCCCCCCCCTATGTGATCCGGGTTGAGTCGTTCAGCTGGTAGAAGTGGAGGGTAGGGGCCACGGGGGCAGACGACAGAGTCCACTGATGGGGGGTGTACTCATGGTAGTGCATGCCGTAGTCGTTGGACCATTGACCTCGCATCCCTACAAAGCCGGGACGGAGCACGCCAGGTTCTCACCGGACCAGGCTCTCACATCACCAGGCGCGAAGCGCCATGAGGTGTTCGGCGAGTCGCATGAAGAGTGCGCTGTATCCTGCTAAGGGTGTTCGGCATCTTGTGCTTACTTCCTTGCTACGGATGACAGCTCCGTATGACTTAATTTATTTTCTGGTGCTTTCACTTCCAGAGACAGTTGTAAGTACTGTGTAACTGCCTCGAGGGTAGTTGACCATTTTAAGACAACGTGGTGCGATCATCCCCCTTGCGCGGAGTGAGGGTTCTCGACCCCGCACAACATGATCTACTCGACCACCATTGTGGTTACCGCCACAAAAAAAAAAAGAGTCCACTGATGGGAGACAAAAAAATAAATAGTACTATGATCTACGGAAATCTCAGCTTGAGGTACCTGTTGGTGAACATGCACCTATGCGACTTCTCGTCAATAACTTCTACATTGTACGTTTGCCTATTTTTTAAGCACACGGCGTTGCGCGCAACACTGTAGCAACAGCTGGCCATCGACAGCGAACGTTCGGGTTCGAACCTTAACGGCGGTGAGCGAAACGTGCGGTCCACTTTTCCTGAGATAACTTCGTGTGTGACTCACGACCGTCGCATGAGCACTGTGCCATCATTCAAACCACAGCCTGTTCTCCTATTCCAACGTGCCCAATAAAACAGCAACGACCAATTGCCGAGCATCGAGGCCACGGGTTTCAGAAGCCAACCAACAAGAGTCGCTACGAGACAAGAAAGAGCCTCCTTTGGCTGCTTGCGGCGAGATAGTCAAGAGAGGGGACTGGGCGCAAGAGCCATAAGACAACGTGGCTGGAGCCCTCGCTCGAACAGCCTCCGGGGGCGACAATTGAATTCCCGTCAAGATGAGTTCGTGAGCGGAGAGGCACTGTCGCGCGAGGAGTTCGAGGCATGGTCAGCCGCAGCAGCGGCAGCAGCAGCAGCGGCAAGTCCTACGGGCGACGGCCGTCGTACTGGTAGCGCCAACGGCGCGTCTGATGCGTCTGATGCTACGACCTCTGTGTGCGTGGAAGAGGTCTACAGCTCGAGGGCCTCTCCCGCCGGAATAAACTGGACCTCCATTCTGCTGTCGGTCGTTGATCAAGTCTTGTTCCTCGGCTTCTTTGCTTGGCTCGCCACACCGGCAATACGTGAGTTTGATCCCACACTACTACATACGTAGGCGCCCTTGGGTCAGCCAAACCACCAGCACTATTTGCTTCCATAACTAGTTTTTCCCAACCATGGCGGACTGCCTTACGTCGTTTGGAATACAACACGAGATTTCGCTCACACAACCTTTCATGCACCCCGAAAGAAGACCATGGTGATTTTCCACCATCGGTGGTGTACAACAGATACATCGGACTCCCGCTTACACAATGCTCCGGTCATGCGAACATATGCGACCTTTGCCGGATGTTTTCAATCAGCCCCGGGGGTGTAATTCTAAGCGCATGATATGCATCGGAAGGAATGCGTCTCTTCCTGTTCAAAGCGGTTGCAAACCCGAGCAAGTAAGTATCCTCACCACCCCACAATACCTCTTGCACGCCAATCCGGAACTCCTGAGCCGCAGGCGAGCAGTTGCGGTCTTCGTTTGTGTTGAGCTTTCCGGGGATAGGCTTGGGGGCGGCTGGGGCGGTGCCAATGTTCGTGTACGGTCTTTATCTGGGCACGCAGAACTGGCCTTGGCTGAAGAGGCACGAGCAAAAGGCGGCCGCCGACATCAAAGACCTCAACCTTTTCGGCAGGCGGAGGCAGGTAGGTTGGCTCTGTCCTATTTGGCGGCTGGACTAACACTGAAGCACGGTGAAACCAACACAGCTCCTTGCTACCACACTCGTGGTGCCACGCTGCACGTGTACGTGATTCCCTTCGCGCAAGCGAGCGACGTGAAAGTGACACCAGAATGTGTCCTCGGATTCTCGAGCAGGTGGCCAGAGTGGCCGTGGTATCTGTCCCCCTGGCCATGCTCGTAGCCCTCTGCGAGGAGTGCGTGTACCGAGGATTGGTTCCTCTTCTACTCGTGGCCAAGACCGGCTTGCCTGTGGCCGCTGTGGTCGGAATCTCAGCCGTTTTCTGCGGGGTGAGACGCTCCTGCTTTGTGGGTGTTGCGACGGACGCCTCCGTGTGCGGCTTCCGTACAATACTTGTTCTCTTGGAGCTACGTTGTTTGGAAGCGCAACTACTGTCGTCTCCTTCGTTTTCCGGAGACGCATCTCTGTTCTTGACCCTGCACATGTGTTTCTGTTTCGTATTGCCGATTGTGCACAAACATCACTTACCAACAGGCGCGTCACGCGGGGACGTTGGGGAGCGCAATTGACGCCGCGGTTTTGGGCATGTACGTCCATTGCCTCCTGCTGTCGACACGAAGCATCTTGGTCCCGATCGTTGCGCACGCTGTTTTCGATGCCATCCTCTTCGTGGTGGGACACTTGAAGGTACTTCTTTTTACCGCTTGATGCTGTTCGGTTACTCTTGAGCTCACGGTTCAACTCTTTGTGCCAATGAGATACATGATCATGACAGGGTGGTTGCCGAATGAGACACAAACAAACCCGCTTTGGGCGGCGAGAATATTGGGGTGTTCCTTCGCGCGACCCTGTTCGTGGCTTATCACATGGGGGAAACGCTACTGGTATATTGTCCGCTCTGTCAGCTTCGAGATTATTTCTCATGGTTTCTGGGTGCGATGTGGAATAACATGCACGATGTGAAAAAACATGCATCTCGAAAGCAGCATCTCGTTGCGCCACCGATGTGGTGGAAACAACGCGTGATAGGGAGCAACACTGAAAGGTACCTTAGGTAGTTTGTACGCCCCTTGTCCCTTCCCCCGCAGGGCTCTCATTTTGCCCAACATGAAGGGATTGACGGCTTTTCAGGCCCGCGCGTAATATGCAGTCCGTCCATCCGAAGCTCTCGGCGACCGTATGCTAGCCAAGAGATTATTGCGGCGTTCTACGTCTACTCGCTAATCCTTCGTTTCTGGCGCCACAGGAAACCGCTCGACCACAATAATATTCGTTACGGCTGGAGAGCACGCAGGAAGGACCGGAGGGAGGGCGTCGTCGTTGGTGTCCCCCACACCGTTCAGGAGCGTAGTTGCCTTGGACTAATCACGTTTATCGAGAAGACGATTTCCTCTTATTTTATTTCTTGTTCAATATAGAGTCTGTGTGTTTGGGTACAAAGCACCGACCGCGCTTCCCGGATGACAAATGAATAGCCGTCAGTGTATGTGTTTTTATTATTAGCATCGACCGTGAATATGTGTGTGAGAGTTCGACCAGCTTGATCGTACATACCGAGATCAATGCGAGGTGTTCGCGAAACGAGTCCGTGTTGGTTGAATGAGAATGAGCCATCTCTGGGTTACCCCGTTGTTGCACGTAGCTGTGTGTACCATATCGACCATTTGGTTGCCAACTTGGTACGTGAGTTCACACCTCTCGGTTGGACTGCCACTTGAGCAGAGGTTAGCTTGGGCTTCTGGGTTTGACCAACTTGATTCGTTGAAGATCGGCCTCTGAAACCAGGACGTGCGTTTTCATGTTCAAGCATTGCCACCACACATTGAGAGCTGACTTTCACCTTCAAGCCGTGGGAAATCGTTGGAAGCTTGAATGGCTTAATCTATGTAGTTACCACCACAACATTTAATAGGAAGTACGCTCGATTGCGGCACTATTATACCGCTTACGTCGTTCTGCGGGGCACGAGGGCCTAAAGTGACTCCAGCACGCTACGGCAATCGATCAAAATGTACTAGATGAAGCGAGATATTGCCGTGCTAGTCTTGAAGACTAACTTGCCCCAACTTGACAGTGCGTGGGATACTTGTCATGTCCGATGATCGCATGTAGAGTAAGGGCGGGTATTAAGGACCACCCCCCCTATAAGGACCACTTTTTTCAAATGGGCATATCTCGGTGCAAAATCTGCCGTCCCCCTCAGTTTTTTTTTTTGAATTTTTCGCGAAAGCATTAGCTTTCGTTTGCGCACCTCAGCGCGACGATCCGACCATTCCACCACGAGCTACAGCACCAGATGCACCAGCACGGATGATTCTGCGTAGACTAGCACTTTTGTCCGCCTTCCTGCTAAGCATGGGTCGGAGTAGAGTGGACTCCGCAGCGGCCGAGAAGGCGTGTGCAGCGGTCCGCAACGGCAGCATGTCACGCTACGCTGCCGCTGCTGCCTTTGGGTTGAGCAAGACCTCGCTACTGCGGCGCCTGAGCGGTGAGTGCGACATGGACGCACGGGTTGGCCACGGGACTGTGCTGACGAAAGAGGAAGAAAATGCGCGAAAAAGATGTGCTGCTGTACGCTGGTCGGAACTATATTCCTCTCACGAGGAACGACCTGGAGGAGCGTGTGAGACAGCTCTGCAACGACGGCCGGCCGATCCCATGGGACCCCGACAAGGGCCCGGGGAAGTCGTGGTTGCAGGGCTTCCTCCGAAGGCACGATCGCATCAGCCTTCGACTCGCCCGCATCTACGAGGCCAACAGGATGACCTCGCCGGAAGATGATC